ACACTCCTCCCCCTACCCCTTCTTCTCTCCATCCTCCTCCTGCTCCTCCTCCTCCTCCTCTTCATCCTCCTCCTCCTCCTCCCAATCAGCCTCATCCCTCTCCTCATCCTAGTCCTCCCCCTTAACCTCCTCCTTCTGCTCCTCAATCTTCTCCTTCCCCCCAACATACTCCTGTCCTCCCTCTCCAACCCTCCCCCTCCACGCCCTCACCGGCCCCACAACTGCGCGCACATGTCTGCTACTACTGTAAATAAATACCCGAACATGTAAGCCGCTATCTTCTGCAATCTCGAGACCCATCGCGCATCGGGAAGATCCGAAAGCCTCATGACCCGTGTGGCGGAGAAAGGGCAATCGTGCAAGCGCATGTGGCGCGCCAGAAGTCGTGCATGTCGCAGAATGCTTCATGTACGAGGCCACTGTCGGGGCATCGCCGCACAGAGACTACTCCCCCACGAGCGGCGGTGCGACAAATGCGGACAACGAGTCATGATTTGCACTCATACCACACTGCTAAAAATTATATGCTGTTTCGCTCGGCACGGAGCACCCCGAAAGGGCTCAATTGGAGCTCTGCGCACGTTGGCCTGGCCGACGGACGGTACGTAATTGGCTAGATTTCCACACAGCGAGGCATCTCAGAGAAATGTGGCCGCCTCCGCCTCGGCGACCTTGTCCCGACAACCACATTAAACATGTTGCTCCAATTGTTTTTCCTTTCTGCCCTTTCTGCCCGTGATTACACCAGTTAGTTCGGTCCCCAGTCCCACGAAACGCAGTGGTCTGATCTCCCCAGTGCACGTCTTACGTCTGACGTGCGCGCGACAAGTTGAGGAACTGATCTCCTTCTGGGAAACAAGACGATGGTGCTGACAAAGGCGATGACGATCACAGCGGAGGCAGTGAGAATAATGTTGACAAAAATGATGCTGCTGATGGCGATGGCGGTGATGATGACGGCCTCTGCCAATCCACGCACGAGAAAGCATGCGCGCGTTCGCCTGGAGCTCATCCCTTCATACTACCTTGGTCCCACCCATCATCCGTCTCCCCCTCCCCTCAGCCCAGGACTGGCCGGAGGACGAGGACCAAGAAGGGGAGGAAGCAGGGTGAGGAGGAGGGAGGGTGACAGGGAAGAGAACGGGGAGCAGGGGGCAGAGCGCGAAGATCTCCAAGAGGGACCCAAGACCAGACCAAAGTGCCCCCAAATGCTCCTGCCGGGCACGTTTGGGTCATCGCCTTAGGGCACCCGTGCATAAGACGGCTCTTGCACCCCAGCACTGCTAGGCACCTCCAAGGCCCTCCGGAATGCACCAAAAAGGTCTCCGAGAGGTCTCCAAGAAGATCACGTAGGACTCCGAGAGCCTCCAGCAAGACTCCAAGAGCCTCCGAGAGGATGACCCCCTCAAAAACCCAAGAAGACTCCAAGAACCCCCCACCCCAGAGGCTCCGCAGAAGCCGTGCGACGTCACGGGCACGCGTTGTAGCGTTCCTTCCAAGGCAGGCACTACCGAGCCTGTTGGAGAAGGCTCCATAACCTCATGCCCGTGAGAATAAACACTAGGGGATAATAAAGTTCGGGGTTCAGGGAGAGATAATAAAAGTAGCCCAGCAGACCTCAGCATAATCTCGAAGTAAGAGATGATCAAGAGGAGACCAAGCCGAGCACGTTTTGAGACATCCTTGGCGTTTAGTTTTCATAGAAATATCCTCAACAATGGCTTATCTCGCTGGAGACATCCTCGACAAATCCCTTGTTTCGCTTGAGACATCCGCAAACTACTGCTTATTTCGCTTGAGACACAGTCAAACTATTGCTTATTTCGCTTGAGACATCCTCGAAACAATTGTGGTTTTCGCTTGTAACGTCCTCAAATTATTGCTGATTTCGCCTGAAACATCCTGAAACTATTGCGTATTTCGCTTGAGACATTCTTAAGAAACGCATCGTTTCGCTTCAGACATCTATATGCTTGTTTCGCTTCGGACATTCTCGAGTATATGCTTGTTTCGCTTGAGACATCCTCGGAATAGCTCATCCGCCTCGGCGTCCCTAGATAATCAACGGCGGCGGTAATAAAGTTCAGGCGGGCGGAGGAATGGAGGAAGCTATATAAAAAAAAGAAAATAAAAAAGAATAAATAATAAAATAAAAGAAATGATAGGAGGAGGAGAAGGACGAAGAGAAGAAAAAATCTCGAGTTTCAAATCTATTAGATTTTATTTACAAACGCTTTTATGAAAATTGTTGTTTGTAAGTGCTCGTGTAGGGTAGCTCATGTGCCTCAATTTCCATGGATAATCAACCCCAGAGATAAAAAAGTTCAGGCGAGCGTGGGGACAGAGAGAAATATAAAAGAAGAAGAATACAGTAGAAGAATAATAAGAAAGAAGAAGAAGAGGATAATAAGAAGAGGACGAAGAAAGGAAAAATCCAAAGTTCCAAATCTATCAATTTTAATTTACAAGCGCTTTATGAAAATTGATTTTTTAAAGTGCTCGTGTAGGGTAGCTCATGTGCTTCATTTTCCATGGATAATCAAACCCAGGGATAAAAAAGTTCAGGCGAGCGTGAGGACACATAGAAATATAAAAGAAGAAGAGGGAAGTAGAATAATAATAAGAAAAGAAGAAGAAGAGAAGAAGCAGAAGAGAAGAAGAACGGACAAATGGAAAGTTCCAAATCTATCAATTTTAATTTACAAGCGCTTTATGAAAATTGATTTTTGTAAGTGCTCATGTAGGGTAGCTCATGTGCTCCTCTTTCCATGGATAATCAACCCCAGAGATAAAAAAGTTCAGGCGCGCGCGGGGATAGATACATATATAAAAAGGAAGATAATAAAAATATAAATAAAAAAAAAACTTGCTGGTTTAGCTTGAAACATCCTTGAGACATCCTCACAGAATGCTGGTTTCGCTTGAGACATCCTTGAAACATTGCTCGTTTCGTTTGAGTCTGCCTCCCAAAATTATTGGTTTCGCTTGACACATCCTGAAAAAGTGTGATCGCTTCGCTTGATGTTGCTATATCAACATCGCTTGATGTTGCTATCTCAACATAGCGTTTCGAGGTGATAATGAAGTTCGGCCTCAGCGTTCGCCGCCCAATTTGAATTTTGTATAGGGCGACGATAATCAACTCTAAACACTGAAGGGGGGGGGGTCCCTTTATTATCATCGGCATGCGGTTAAAACCATCCTGCATGCACGCCGATGCTGCGCTGGCATGGTGGCGGGGTCTGCCGCAGGCACTTGGGCATCAATCGGGCCCATCATCCCACAACATACCCACGATCGGCTAATCAGCGAATGCAGGTAACGTCGGAAAACGAAACATCGATATATATATATATATATAGAACAGAACAATGACTCCACGGAATCAACAGACCCCATCGACCGTGGCACCGACCGGTTCACATATTCGAATCCTACTTGTTCGCAGTGTCCACAAGGCAAACACCCAAGAGAACAAATAACCAGCGACGTGCTCCCCTCAACGCCTGATTCTTCGCTTGCTCCTCATCCTTCTGCGGCTGCTGCTCCTCATCCACATCGTAGTTATCTCTTCCCCCCTCCCGTCTTTCTACTCTTGCTCCTCCAAGAACTGCACTGCCATGAAGGAAGCGGGTTCGAGGGAAAGCGGGTCCTGGACCCCAGGGCCTTCCACCTAGGGGGCAGCCGCCCTAGGACGAAGATACTGTCCAGCTGGACAATGTCTATATCCAGATTGCTTTTTGATGGTCCCGCGGCCAGGGGTCGGCGGCGAGACTGGGGTGGAAGTGAAAAGGAGAAGGCCTTCTCAGAAGGCCTGGACGCCCCCAGGCCTTCTGAGCAGTCTTCTAAGTTTTCCCGCAGACATGGAAAACCGTTCAGAAGGCGCGAGGGCTTCTGAGAAGTCCCGCCGCCTTCTGAGAAGGCTGTCTTTGGACGCCCGAAATTGGTAGGGAAGACATGGGCACAATGCCCAACAACACATGTTGACCCAAACCAACAGTGGCCGCTGTTGGGCAGGCGGCCTTCTGTCTCAGATGGACGCAGGCCGCGGCGACACCGACAACGAGTCCTGCTCAACATGAACAGGAACTGCTGTCGGTCGTTGCACCCCCTCTTTGAAGGGGCCCAAGGACACACAAATAAATACACACAAATGACAGGATTCCCCATAGTTTCCTATATTTTATGGGTTTTGTCTTCCCCCCCACTTCCCATAGTTTCCCATATTTTCGGGGGAATCGACAATTAATTGTGTCTGTGTTTTTTCCCTCCTGATTCTTTCCGTGCCGATTTCGATCGTCCCGATCTCCTTCTCACTGCCCCCCTCGCTCGCCCCCCCCCCCTCGCTCCCCCCCCCCCGAGAGGCTCGCCGCCGAAGGGAGCAGCAGTCGGCATATGAAGCGACGGGGTCCTGAGAGCAACGGGCCCTGAAGATGTGCGGCCGCCTTCGGATGCCCCGGGGCCCTCCCCCTGGGCTGGCGAGCGAGGGGGGCAGCGGGAGGGAGAATGCCCTCCCAGAAGGCGGCGCGGGGCTGCGCAGGAGCCCGCGGCCTCCTGAGAGGGCGCATCCGCCGGGCGGCGACACCCGAGCCCTGACCTCCCAGCGCTCGATGCGCCGGGATCGGTGGGACGCCGCCACGGGGCCGACGAACTCCGAACTTCGCCACGGGGCCGTACGGGGCCGTACGGGGCCGACGGGGCCGAACTCCGACGGGGCCGACGGGGCCGAAAGGGGTCCGCACTTCGCCACGGGGCCGACGAGCTCCGAACCCTGCCCCCCCGCCGCCCACCGAGTGGCCCGAATCGTCGATCGGCGAGGGTGGGGCTCGGATTTCGCCGCCGGGGTGTCCTCGGAGAAGGCTCGAGACCACTTCTCCGAAAAAATAAGCTGTTTTTGAGCCTTCCGGCAAGGCCCGCCTCCTCTGCATTCCCCGCAGGAGCTCGCCTCCTCCTCCTCCTCCGCCTCCTCCTCCTCCTCCGCCTCCTCCTCGACCGCGATCCTCCACCGTCAGCCGCAGCTCGGCAGTCTGCGACGTCGCCTGCTTGCACGGCTGCATCGCAGTCGTCGGCGGAACCCAGGGGTTCTCCTGGCACCCCGCCCAGAACAGGGCGGACGGCGACAACCACATCTTAGGATGGAACTCCTGGGAGGTCCTGGTGAGCACTATAAGAAGGTAGAAAGTCCGACGAAGCGGCCATTGTACCGTTTGGACGGATCAAACCAACGAGTCAGCCGGACTGAGCTGGATTAACTGGGATCGGCCAGAATCGAGCGGGACTCTGCCGGATCAGGCGGGCTCTCGAAGACGGATGTACCAGCGCCGATGCTGAAGTTAACCTCCCAACAAGTGCATCCGAATGTTCGGTGGCAACTCATGGGAGCCTCCCGTACCATCTTGTCGGCTCTTGCGAATCGACGCTAGTCGACGCTAAGTCGACGATCGATCGACGCTAACTCGGCGCTATCTCATCGACTCCTAGGAGCTAACCGACGCTGATCGACCGAAAAGACGGAAGAGACGGAATTCAAAGGATATACCCGGCTCAGATTGCTTTCTGTCGCATTACTCGGTGGAGGCAGAGGAGCCGGAAGGGAGGCGGCGAGCCAGACCTCCTCGCGTCGCGAAAGACTCGCGACGGGAATTGTTGTATGTGTTCGGTGTTTCTGCCTCCGGGAGCCCCCCCTCAATCGCCGTGACGCCACAAGGAAGGCAGCTTGCAGAACCAAGTGGCGCTCCTGATCGCGGCGAGCCTCGGCGACGAGCAGGCTCCACGGCCTAGGTCTAGGGTGCGGCCCGACAACCAGAGAGCCCCTGCTGAGGCCGACGTGGTCCTCACTTCGGCATCCTTCGGCGGCGGACAAACCTCCCTTGAGTAAACCATCCTTTAGTGACAAACTGCACAGGACCGAACCGAAACCGACGGACCTGGACCCGCAAAACTGACGGCCGCGCCGCCCTCTCGCGAACCGAAAACGGCCAATTCGCTAATCGACGTGTCAGGGTAGGAGGTCTATCAACCTCCGAGTCCTGACTGTTCCCAGTCCCAGGACCGTAGAAGTGATTCGGGCCCTACGAAAGGAGTCGAGACCTCTGGAGACCCACGACGTGAAAACAACCACGGCGTCGGAGGACTGGAAGGTGAGGAAAGAGGAGCAGAGTAGCAACAAGATGTTGGTTGCAACGCTGACGGGCGCACAGCGCAGTCGGAGCCTGCGCGGGGGAACGAAAAGCAAACATTGAATGAACAGGAGCTCTCGGTGAAACGTGCGAATCTCCTGGGTCCGCAATGTACCCCCCTTCGGCACCAGAGGCGGCGCCAAGTGTATTCCAACGCCGCCTTAAGAAATCCGCGCGACCCTCCGAAAGATGCCTTTGTGTCTGCGCTGTTTTTGTACGGCGCGCTCGCCCTGGGGGCAGATCGAACGGTAACTCGCGCGCCATACCTCCAATGAGGAGTGAGTCGGTTGTTGCCAGAACTGGGTTTATAATGGGACCTGGTTTAGTGATGTGCACTGGGGGACGCCCCCCCCGCCCCTTTCCACTAACCGGAACTGCCGTCACCCAGAACAAAAAAAAACCATCTACGGCAGACCTGGTTTAGTGATTCTGGCAACTTAGTGGCTCCGGGGCGCTACTACTAACTGGGTCCCCTTGCCTGGGGTCCTGGGTAACGGACGAAGGAGGTGGAGGGAACGAACGATCCCCAGAGTCGTGCGCTCTCCGATACGGAGCCCGCCCGTGGCCACCAGGGCATATGGCGTGGAGGCCGAGGCCTCGACAAACGTTGGTTCTGCGGGAGGCGGGGAGGAGGCAGGGAGTCAGTCAGGGAGGGGGGGGGGAGGGCGGGAGAAGCCAAACAAACCGTACCTTATGCAATTTGCTTGCCGGTACCGGGCCAACGTCTCGACCCCTGCTGGCAATCCGTGAAGCTGTTGCACGCTGGTGGGGCGAATGTGTGCGGCACTGAAGCGAGAACCACATTTTGAAGAGGAGCCGCCATCCATCCGTGAAACTGTTGCAACATGGTGTGCCGAATGTGTGCGACGCTGTGGCGAGAGTCACATCTTGGCAACAGCCCCTCTTCCACTCCTGAAGATGCCTCCAGTTTGCAAGACGAATGCTCGCGGAGCTACGGCGAGAGCCACATCGTGAAACACCCTCCCTTCACCCTTGTGAGCGTTTTCTTTTTCGGCGTCTCGACACTGGGCGGGAAAAGGGGGGGTGCCGGGGGGGTGCCTGGCTCCAGACCTCTGCCTAATGCGACTGTCTGGAACCGTGCGTCGTGTGGGGGGAAACTCCACCTGCTTGAAACTAGCGCCAGAACCAGTCAATACCGACTCCAGGGGGGGGGGAGGGGGAGGGGGTGCGAGGGCCCGCGCCGATCAGCAAAGCGATGAATAAGAGAACAGCGACCCGACGCGAGCTTGTATGACGAACGCGCGCGGCGCTCCGGCGAAAGCCCCAGTCTGAGACGGCGCTGCCCTCCGTGTCCTTGAAGCTGCTCCATTTGTTTACGGCGAGTGCGCGCGGCGCTGAGACGAGAGCAACATGTTGTGAACCACCACCCCTCCATCCTGACTGCCTACCAAGCCACCCCAAACGCAACCCGAAGAGGAACATTTCAGGTTGGGGGAGGTACGGGCCTCAGATGTGTCGTGTCCATGTTCCCCACCACCCCACACGGGACATGGAGGGCAAATCGGGGCCTTCGGGTTGGGGTGGGGTGGTTTGGTGCGCGGCGACATGCTTGACACTGCTGTAAACATTTGAAACCCATGTGCGCAGCGCTAAAGGCCAAAGCCACAACTTGAAAACGCCCCCTCACTCCGTGAATTCCCCATGCTGCGTTCCATGTGAGCAGCGACTGCGCGCTGCGCTAAGACAGCAAACAAAGTTTGAAAGCCACGTCACCTACATCTTTGAGCAAGTTGCATGCTGTACAGTGGAGACCTATGCCAAGAAATACCATGCTTGCCTCCAGGGTGCCCTGGCTTTCTTGGGTGTCGATGGTTTTGCTATGAAACGCGTGACGTTCCGAACCCCAAAAATCAATGGACGTCCTGGGCTCTCAGGGTTGGGTTTCGTGTGGAAGGTTTCTTGCGGACCGGCCTCCATTGTAGGCTTCAGGATCATGAACGGTGATGCCTGGTCTGTCAAAACATTAGGCCCACCCTAACGACACGTCTGTGGGTGCGGCAGGGAAGAGATACTTACGAAGGAGCATGGATGGAGGAGAGAGGAACATCGAGGAGAAGAAGGCTGGGGGGCAGGGGAGGAGGAAGAAGAGAAGAAGGAGGGAGGAGCAGGGGCATGAGGAGGAGGAGCAGGAGCAGCAGGGAGGGGGAGCCAGGAGAGAGGAGGCAGACAAGCAGGAGGACCAGGAGGGAGAGGCCCTGCCCCTGGCACCGCCGCTCTCGACGCTCGGGCGCCCCCCCCCCGTCCCCGCGCGGGCCTCTCCGGGGAAGACGACGGGGTCCTGCGGGAGGTGGCAGAGTACTATCTCCTCCTCTTCCTCGACCTTGTCCTAGTCGTCCTCCTCCACATCATCGTCCTCATGCTCCTCCTCGTCTAACTTGTTCACCGTCCCCCTCCTGCCTCCTCCTCCCTCTTCACGTCCTCCTCCTCCTCCTCCTCCTCCTCCTCCTCATCCTCATCCTCATCCTCATCCTCCTCATCATCATCGTCATCATCAGCAGCATCGCCATCGTCATCGTCATCGTCGTCGTCATCATTATCGTCACCGTCATCGTCATCGTCATCATCGTCATCATCGTCTTCATAATCATCAGCATCACCATCACCATCATCATCATCATCATCATCATCATCATCATCATCAGCAGCAGCAGCAGCAGCAGCATCAGCATCAGCATCATCATGATCATCATCATCATGATCATCAATTTCCTCCTCCTCAACCTCCCGCTCCATCGTTCCATGCCTCCCTCCCTCTGTCCCTCCCTCCCTCCCTCCATCCTTCCTCCTCCTGCTCATCCTCCTTATCCTCCTCTACCTCATCCTACTTCATCCCTCTTCCCTTCTTTTCCCTCCTCTGTCCCCCTCCTCCCTTTTCTCCCTACGCCCTCTTCCTCCTCCGTCTCCTCCTCCTCCTCCTTCTTCTCCTAATACCTCCTCCACTGCGAATTGGACAGGGATGACATGTCCATCCCTGAGACCATCGACGACATCGTCGTCGGCGTCGTCTTCGGCGTCCGTCGTCCGTCGACCGACGTCGTCGTCGTCGCCGTCGATGTTTGTCGTCGGCGTCGTTGCTGATGCTATCGTCGGCGTCGTCGTCGGTCCTGCCTCACCAGGGGCAGGAGGATCGAGATCTAAGAGGTGGATGGTGCCACAACTCGGCTCCGAAAATTTCGCGCGCGGGCCTTAGAACATCTCTGTGCATGCCGCTGTTCTGCTCTTCGAGGGGGGTCAGATTTAAGGACACAAAGAGGGGTATGAACATTGAAGTCGACGAAAACAGCCAGGCCTGAAAAAAACATGGCGTCGAAGTCGGAGAGGGGGTAGGGCTCGGACTTCGCCAATAACTGACAACCTGTCTTCCTCCCCCCTCCCTGCCGCATAACTCAGATGCTCGTGCTGGGGGCATTCCTGAAGCCTCTCGTACCACTCATGCGTCGATGCTACGCCGAACGTCGGGCGACTTGAATCTAACTTAAATCGAGCTGCAGTCGAAAAATATCCGTTAGGCGGGCCCAGGGAGGTCCCCCAAACCAACGACTAACAGTTGGGGGTCCCAACGTGCTGTGGTGACAGCTCGTGCGGTGACCTCGGAATTTCATAAAGTCTCACCGCACGGTCCGCCACCGCTCGGTTTTGGGACCCTGGAGGCCCCAGTCACCAGCGACATCCTCGGGGAACGACCCGAGTCACAAAACCGTGCAGTCTTCCCGAATCTCCAATGACTCACCACACGGTGTGGTCACTACACCGTTGAGGGGCCCCCGAGCTACTCCCCAGACCTATCCCATGGTGGCGTCTGACCAGAATCTCGCGGCGAATTTGGCGGTGGCGACGAGGGCCTGACAGGAGGCCCACGAAGGCGACAAAAAGCGAGACAAGATAGCGGCATCGGCAACGCTCCCACCTCCGACGTGCAGGTCTTGCGCTCACCCCAGATCCCCACTGACTGGTACTATATCGTCTGTCGGGCGGGTGGTAATGAGGGGTGACCCACACACGGGGGGATGAAGAGAAGGACCCTCAATGGGGCCCTTGGGGGCCCCTTTTTTTCGAGCCAGCTGGTGCCCCCCAAAGGGTCCCTAAAGGGGCCCCTTTGGGGCTCTGTTCTGCACCCCCCCATCTTGGGCCCCCTCCTGGGAGCCACCGAAGCATGGAGCCTCCGTGCCGCGACCCCCACGGGACGCGGAGGACGCGGAGGACGAGTAGGACGGGGAGGACGAGGGGAACGAGGAGGACGAGGAAGACGAGGGGGACGAGGAGGACGAGGGGCACGAGGAGGACCAGGGGAACGAGGAGGACGACGAGGACGGGGAGGAGAGGACGGGGAGGACGAGGAGGACGGGGAGGACGAGGAGTGAGGACGAGGAGTGAGGACGAGGAGGACGAGGAGGACGAGGAGGACGAGGACGGGGAGGACGAGGAGGACGAGGAGGGAGGGCGAGGACGGGGAGCACGAGGAGGACGAGGAGGTATGGCGAGGGGGACGGGGAGGACGGGCCGGACGAGGAGTGAGGAGGAGGACGGGGAGGACGAGGAAGAGCCCCCCCCTGGGCGACGGGGCGCCCCCCGGCCTGCAGCCTCGGCCGCCCCCGCGGCCTCTCGCGGGCGGCGCGGCCCCGGACACCTCGGCGCCCCCCCCCCCTCCGAGGGGCCACGGCTGGGACCCACGGGCTCAGAGGGAGGAGGACACGGAGGAGCAGGAGGAGGAGGAGGATGAGCAGGAGGAGGAGGAGGACATGGAGGAGCAGGAGGAGATGGAGGAGGAGGAGAAGGAGGAGGCCCAGTCAAAATCCTGTACAACAGCTAGCGCAGACAAACTTTCAGGTCCTCTCGTGGGGGGGCTCATGTCGAACAGGTTCCCGAACTAGCAGAACTCAGGTGGGTAGTACTAGTAGTAGCAACAGAAGTATCAGTAGTAGTAGTAGTAGTAGTAGTAGTAGTCGTCGTAGTAGTAGTAGTAGTAGTAGTAGTAGTAGTAGTAGTAGTAGTAGTAGTAGTAGTAGTAGTAGTAGTAGTAGTAGTAGTAGTAGTAGTAGTAGTATAAGTAGTAGTAGTAGTAGTAGTAGTAGTAGTAGTAGTAGTATAAGTAGTATAAGTAGTAATAGTAGTAGTAGTAGTAGTAGTAGTAGTGTAGTAGAGTAGTAGTAGTAGTAGTAAGTTAGTAGTAGTAGTAGTAGTAGTAGTAGTAGTAGTAGTAGTAGTAGTAGTAGTAGTAGTAGTAGTAGTAGTAGTAGTAGTAGCGTAGTAGTAGTAGTAGTAGTAGTAGTAGTAGTAGTAGTAGTAGTAGTAGTAGTAGTAGTAGTAGTAGTAGTAGTAGTAGTAGTAGTAGTAGTAGTAGTAGTAGTAGTAGTAGTAGTAGTGGTAGTAGTAGTAGTAGTAGTAGTAGCAGTAGTAGTAGTAGTAGTAGTAATAATAGTAGTACTAATAGTAGTAGTAGCAGCAGTAGTAGTAGTAGTAGTAGTAGTGGCAGTAGTAAAACCAGTTGCGTTAATATTAGTAGTGATCGTAGTTCTAGGCATCAAAGTAATCGTAGCAGAAATAATAGACGCAATATCAACAATAGAACAAATAATGCTTCAAGTGCAGTACGAATAGTGCTGGTAATCATGTTGTAGTAGCAGTAATAGTAGTAAGAGTAATACAGATGGTAATGGTAGTAGACATGGAAAACGTAAGCGCGTTAGTAGTAGCTGGGGTGGTACCAGTGGAAATAACAGTAACCGTCGTAGAAAAAATAGTCGTCGTAGTAGTGGCCGTAGTCGTCGACGACGTAATAGTAATAGTAGTAGTAGTCGTAGTAGTAGTAGTAGTAGTAGTAGTAGTAGTCGTAGTAGTAGTAGTAGTAGTAGTAGTAGTGGTGGTAGTAGTAGTAGCAGGAATAGTAGAGGTAATAGTAGTAGTAGTGGGAGAAGTAATGGCAGCGGTCGTAATAGTAGCAATGGTAATGACTATGGTCGTGGTAGTGGCAGTCGTAATAGTGAAGGTAGTCGTAGTAATAGTAGATGTGGATGTAGATGTAGTGGCCGTCGTAGTGGTAGTAGTAGTAGTAGTAGTAGTAGTAGCAGTAGTAGTAGTAGCAACAGTAGTAGTAGTAGTAGTAGTAGTAGTAGTAGTAGTAGTCGAAGTAGAAGTAGAAGTAGTAGTGGTGAGGGTAAGGATGAGAAATAATTAGTGAGGCCGCAGTCGCAATCGTATTGGTTGTAATTGTCGTCGTCGCAATAATAACGGTACGAGAAATGGTCATACTGGCCGTAGCCGTAGCAGTAGTCTCAATAGAAGTGGTAGTAGTAGTAGCAGTAGAAGACGTAGTCGTAAAGGTAGTAGTAGTAGTAGTAGTAGTAGTAGTAGTAGAAGTAGAAGTAGTAGTAGTAGTACTATTCGTAACAGTACAGGTCGTAAGAATAGTATTGGTATGAAAAACGTCAAAGGAATGACTCAACTAACAACAATACGATTAGCAACTTGAGTATTGGCAGAATTCGAACCAGCAGTCGTGCTAGTAGTAGTAGTCGTCGAGCACTGGTGCTGCAAATACTGGTACTCGTCGTGGTAGTTGTTGTAGCCGTTGTCGTTATGGGAAGTATCGTAGCACTTGTAATCGCAGTTTAATCCGTAGTAGTAATATCATTAACCACAGCAGGAATAGAAGTGACAGTGATAATGGTAACCCCAATGGCAGCCGAAAGCGTAGCGTTTTAAAAAGGAACAGAAGTAACATTAGCTGTCGCAGTAGAAATGGTTGTAGTAGTCGTAGTAGTACTGTCGGTAGTAGTTGTAATCGCAGGGGTAATGGTCGTACTCGTAGTAATAGTAGTAGTAGTAGTAGTAGTCGTCGTCGTCGTCGTCGTCGTCGTCGTAGTGGTAGCAGGAGTAATATCAAACCTAGCACTAGTAATCGTTCTAGTCGTGGGAATCGTCGGCTTTGTGGATCTAGACGGTCGTACTAGTAAAACGACTGGTCGTATAAGTAATCGTAATATTCATAGTATCGTCGTAGTCGTAGTAGTAGTAATAGTAGTCGCAGTAGTAATAGTAGCAGTAGTAGTAGCAGTAGTAGTAGTTGATGTTGTTGAGTGAGTAGGTGGAGGAAGGGTCGTAGTGGTAGTATTTTTTAGTCGTCGCCGTAATAGAAGTGGTAGTACTGTGTCGTAGTAGTCGTGGTCGGAGGAACACCAGTAGCAGGAGTAGTCGCGAAGAAGAGGCATAGTAGTAGTAGTGGTGATAGCGCGAGGAACAGGAGAAGTAGTAGTAGTAGTAGAAGTAGTAGTAGTAGTAGTAACAGTTCTTGTGGTAGTGATAGACATAGTAAGAGTCGTAGTCGTCGCCGTAGTTGTATAGTTGTATCAGTAAATGGTAATGGTGATGGAAGGAAACTAATAGTAGCCGCGGTAGAAGAAAACATATACGTAGTAGTAATAGTAGTAGTCGTAATGGTAGTATCAGTAATAGTACCCGTAGCAGTAGTAGTAGTAGTAGTCGTCGTCGCAGAGGTCGTAAAGGTAGAGGTACTGGTGGTGGTAGTAGTAGTATTAGGAAAATATGCCACGTCGTGTTAAGAGTATTGGTATGTGTATGAGTAGTTACCGTAATAAAAAATACGTAAAATATGAAGGGGTCCTGATACAAGTCGCAATAGTACCAGTAGTAGTAGTAGTAGTAGTAGTAGTAGTAATACTCAATATCGTAATAGTAATGGTGGTACTAGTGATGCAAGTATTACTGAATACAGCAGAAGTAACAGGTAGTACGAACAACTTGCAGTAGTAGTAAGAGTAGTAGTACTCGTGAACAGATGAGTCATAGAAAGTACGAGGGATATTAGTAGCAGTAGTAGTAGGGGCGATCATAGAGATAACAATGGTGGTAAAACAAATCGTCGTCGTAGCCGTAATCGTTATTTGAACGATAATACTAATAATAGTAGCAGTAGTCGTCGTAGTAGTAGTAGTAGTAGTTTTAGTAGAAGAAGTAGCAGCTGTAGTAGCAGCAGTGGCTGTAGTTGTACTAGTAGTAGCCGTACAAGTAGTAGTTGTAGTCGTTGCTTTCGTAGTAGTAGTAGTAGTAGTAGTAGTAGTAGTAGCAATAGAAATAATAGCGTTAGTAGTTCGAGTCGTAGTAGGGGTAAAAGTCGTAGTAGTTGTAATATAAAGAATATTCGTAGCCTCGAAACTAATGCACTAGTGGTCGTAAGAGTGACTGTAGTCGTAGCAGTAATCGTCGTAGTCGTTGTCGTCGCCCTCGTCGTAGTAGTAGTAATACTAGTAGTAGTGGTCGTCGCCGTAGTACTACTAGCCGTAGTAGTAATAGTAGTACTCGTCATCGTAATAGTGGTAGTCGAGAAGGCGTAGTAGTAGTAATAGTAGTGAGTGTAGTGATTGTAGTAGTAGTAGTAGTAGTAGTAGCAGCAGCAGTAGTAGAGTCGTATACATAGTAGTAGTAGTAGTCGTGGTAGATCGTAGTATTTGTAACACTAACAGTTGACGTCGTCGGTGTAGGAGTAGTCGTAGTAGTCGTCGTAGTCGAAGTAGTAGTAGTAGTAGTAGTAGCCGTAGTAGTAGTAGTCGTCGTAGTAGTAGTAGTAGTAGTAGTAGTCGTAGTCGTAGTAGTAGTAGTAGTAGTAGTAGTAGTCGTAGTAGTAGTAGTAGTAGTAGTAGTAGTAGTAGTAGTAGTAGTAGTGCTAGTAGTAGTAGTAGTAGTAGTAGTAGTAGTAGTAGTAGCCGTACTAATAGTAGTAGTAGTAGTAATAGTAATAATAGTAGTAATGGTAGTCGTAACAGAAGAAGTCTATTCGTAGTAGGGATGGGGGGGAGGGATGAGCGGAGGATTATGAAAACAAGTTCTGGACTTGTCAAATTCTGGCAGAGAAAACAATTCATCCAAAGGAAGGTTTTCCAATCCTCGAGTGGGGGGGGCTCATGGTTGGTGCGCAGACGAGGGAGAAATCGGAGCCGCTGGGGGCCCCCATCTTGCGGGCCCCCCGCCGCTCAGGGACGTGGATTTCGAACGCTCAGGTGCCTGGGGGGCCAAAATCGAAGGCCTTGGGCGGCGGAATCCTCCTGCGGCCGGTTTTTCAGGCGTTACAGTTTCGGGGAGGGGTGGGGGGGTCGGGGTGGGCAACATGGGTTACCCACGGGAGCAACGAGTGGAATAATACGAACAGATAGAGTGCGAACTATAGGAATAACAACAGTAGTCGTAGGACTAATACTAATCATTAAAAATCGGCCTCGCCGTCGTCCATCGCCGACCAAAAATGTCCTGAGCGATAATCAACACCAAAGACTTACTTGGGAGGGATGTACAATGTTCCGGGGCATCCGCTAGCGCGGTCGACTGCGAAGACCATCTGACCTCATCAGGAAAACTCTGCGCTGGTCCCCCATCCTTGTCTGAGGGGGACCCTCCCCCCCCCCCTCCCTGGTGTTTCTGATGTGTCAGAGGGTCCTTTTTGGGCCCTTGGCAGGGTCAATTTTCGATACCACTCACGGGGATCGTGGCCCCCGAGGGGGGGGCTACATTTAGTACCCCCCTCTTTTGACCGGGGAGGGGACATTCGGGGGGCACCGGCTCCGGGGGGGAAACCTCGAGCTGCGACCGGAGGTGCATCGCCGACGGATCGGCGATGTGGCCTCGCTGGCAAATCCGCAGGTCCTCCTGGGCAGAGTGGGCAAGGGCTCGAGCCAACCTGTGTTTTTTCCGCTCTCGTTCTGCCTTCGTTCCGCCCTTGCTGCACCACGAGATCAAAACGAAAAAACGGTCCGCAAAAACCGCCCAAGCACGTTCAGCTCGAGCCCTGCCTCTCGCACCCGACGCCGCGATCTCTTCAAGAACTGGGCGCCTGGAATTCTCGACCCTCGATCCCTCCCCGCGGACCGCCGTTTCGCACCGCCCTCCCAGGAGAAAGACAGCTCTCGGGCCCATTGGCATCATCAGGACCCGAAAGCGACCGCTAGTAGGAAGCACGGGAAGCCCGAAACATGGTTCAATGAGTATCGCCTTGTCGCCTTCTTCTCTGCAGATGGGCCTTTGAGGCCTGTGAACGGCCCCGAGACGGCGGCAAAAGGACGGCGTGACCTCAAGAGACGACGTGTACCAACGCCGCCCCATCTGCTTCGTCACTGGCGTCGAGGCAGGCCCAATCAACAGTGCCCTGCCCAGCAGGGCCTCAGAGGCTGCCAACCGAAGGCCCCGAGAGGGAGAGAGAGAGCTCCGAGAAGGCTGCAGCGAGGACTCCGCGGGGCCAAGGAGGGCCAAGGAGGGCTGATCCGTCGTCCCATGTCGCTGGTATTCTCCAATCCCTGTCCCAATCATTCTCTTCTACATTGCGACGGGGCCAGAAGGATCCACGGTCAGGATGCCAGTCCCTTGGACGCGCGGCTTGAAGCAGAAGTTGGAAGTCTTATGGCCCATGGCTATTAAGGGCGAGCAGGATGAGCGGCAGGGGGGCGAAGATGCAAGTGTTATCGTGGAAAGCTCCTCATCCTCATGATGCGGTTTGACTGTGCTTGCCCTAATCTCCCTACAAATCGCTCCGTGGTGGGGCGGTGGGGAGAATTGCGGGAAACGCCGAGAATGTGCACCGACTGACGCCTTGAAGGGAGCTCCGTAATCCCACAAGTCTTCACATCGCCCGCTGCCCTGCGTCTCCACAAAAAGCCATGGTGGGTGAGTGCGAGATCACGCACAACACAAGAATGTGCACACAAACGCAGACTTTTGGTTACCGGGCTGTATTGAAGCGCGTCTTATCATACCAGAACGGAAGGCCATCGGGGTCCATATCCTCCTCCTCGTCCACCTCGGTCGCACACAAGCAGAGGTCGGGAAACTCACGCTGAGACGCGTCGGCCGCGGAGTTCCCGGGTCTCGCACTCGCGGCGGCTGCCTGGTCAAGGTTCCACATGCAGTGCATGGTCTCCGCTTTGACGTGGTGCACCACCCAGGTTCTGTTATGCATGCTGGAAAACTTCGAACTGCACGAAGGATTCAACGAGAACGAGTTGAAATCCCGGTCGTCGAGGTTGATGGACATGCCCCTCTTCGCTACCAGCGCCCTAACGACGACGCCCAGCGATGGATCGTCGGGGTGTGCTATCTGGTTGGCGGCCACCTCATCGAGCCGACTCCCGGGGGGCACGTCCTCCTGGAACTCCGCAACGACAGCGGCCAGGAGGTCCACGGACATCGCCCACAGCAGGCCGCGCGCATACGGCGGGAAGATGTCCCCCCAGGCAGGGTGCCGCTGCTCGGGAAACTGCTCGTAGGAGTTGTAATGCTGGTGCCCGGGGTCCCGCACCGGTGCCGAGCCATGGTCGATCATCCCCCAGAAGTAGCGCACGGGAGGCCGCGCCGCCAGCTGCGCCAGCAGCGCTGGCGCCCGGAGGTAGACGTCGTCGTCGTGGCGGACGAGCCACTGCAGGTTGGGGAACGCGTGGTACGCCCAGGACAGCATGCTGAAAGCCTCGAAGGAGAAATAGCCGGCATAAACGTAAACTTTCGGAACTCCGCACGGACGTCTTGGATCGGCGCTGGGCTCCCGTGGCGGCACCTCTGCTCTAGCGCTCTCCGCGCGCCAGTGAGGGGGATCCATCGCCCACTCAAGAAACCCGCACGGAGCTACAAAAGTTATGTTTACGCAATTGTTTGCCCAACCAACCTGTTGTTTTGGGTCCACGTTTTGAAACGACAGCGCCCCGAGCTCCTTCTCCTCCTCTCCTCTCCTCTCCCCTTCCTCCCGTGACTCCCCTCACTTTGGCAACCCCTCAGACGTTTCGTGGCCCCATAGGAAGCTCCACCGAAGGTCCCAGTGACGCAGCCCGCATGCGTCTCCAACACCCATCACAACGCTTCGTGGCCCGATAGGGAGCTCCACCGAAGGTCCCAAACGCAGCCCGCATGCGTCTCACACACACACAGCACAGCGCCTCGTGGCCCCACAGAGAGCTCCACCGAAAGTCCCAGTGGCGCAGCCCGCATGCGTCCCCCACACCCAGTACAACGCTTCGTGGCCCCATAGGGAGCTCCACCGAAGGTCCCAGTGGTGCAGCCCGCATGCGTCTCACCCACCCAGTACAGCGTCTCGTGGCCCCACAGGGAGCTCCACCGAAGGCCCCAGTGCCGCAGCCCGCATGCGTCCCCCACACCCAGTACGCGTCACCCCCACCCAATACAGCGTTTCGTGGCTCCGTAGGGAGCTCCACCGACCGTCCCAGGGGCGCATCCTGCATGCGCCTCCCCCGCCCAGCACTGCGCTTCGTGGCCCCACGGGGAGCTCCGCCGAAGACCCCAGTGTCGCAGCCCGCATGCGTCCCCCACAGCCAGTACAGCGATTCGTGGCCCCGTAAGGACCTCCACCGGCGGTCCCAGGGGTGCAACCCGCATGCATTTCCCCCACCGAGTACAGCGCTTCAGGGCACCATGGGGAGCCCCACCGAAGAGCCCAGTGGAACAGCCCGTATGCGTCTCCGCTGCCCGGTACGGCGTTCCGTGGCCCTACACAGGGGGCACTTCCGAAGACGATAGCTACAACTGCGGTGTTCACAACTGCATGTGGTTGGGTCCTTCGCCAGACTAATTATTCTTCCCGGGGTTTCAAGAGTGGGGCGTTCAAAAGGGAGGGTCGCAAATCATGGGCCGAGATATGTGCGCGGACGGGGGGGTACTACGCAACGTACTGGAACTAGCCTGGCGAAAGCCCCACCCATATACAATTGTGAATACCGCAGATGTATGTGTCGTCTTCGGTGGAGCCCCATTATAGACCACGAAGCGCTGTACTGGGTCGGGGAGACGCATGCGGGCTGCGCCACTGGAACCTTTGGTGGAGCTCCCTGTGGCGCCACGGAACGGTTTACAGGATGGGGGAGACGCATGCGGGCTGCGCCCCTTGGGCCTTCGGCGGAGCTCCCTGTGGGGCCACGAAGCCCTGTACTGGGTGTGGGGGACGCATGTGGGCACCCCCACTGGGGCCTTCGGCGGAGCTCCTTATAGGGCCACAAAACGCTGTACTGGGTGGGGGAGACGCAGGCGGGCACCCCAACTGGGGCCTTCGGTGGAGCTCCCTATGGGGCCACGGAACGTCTGAGGGGTGTGCCAAAGTGATGGGGGTGACGGGAGGAGGGAGGAGGTGGGGAAGAGGAGGAGAGGAACGCGGGGACCGTCTCTTCAAAACGAAGACCCGACACCACAGGATGGTTGGGGAAAAGAAGAGGGGGCCATAACATCTGGGGAGCACTGGCCATGAGATTCACCCCCATAATGATCACCCTCCTTCGCCCCCGATCTTCGAGCCTTGATGTTGAGGGCGCGGTACGACTCTGGCACCGGCAGCTCCACCACATCGCCCCTGAGACCGTCCTCCAGCGGCACGCCTTCCGCGCGGCCCACGAAGAAGCGCTGCACTACTGCGGGCGCGGCGTCGGCAATGGCCCTGGCCCACGTGTCCCGCAGCACCTGCCGCAGCTCGTGCGCGCTGCGCCGGCTCATGCCACAGAACACCACTGCCACCGCTCCTTACAAGAAAAAGAAACAGCGGCACGACCATAAACACTTGGATCAACCAAGAAAGGACCCCTAACCTGTTGGGAGGGGACTTCAGTTAGGAGGGCCGGAAAAATTAGGGATAGGGGATCTCTTCTGCAAATGCACCAGGCCAGACCGCCCAGAACTATCATCCCTCATGTAGAGACGGGGGCCTCCGTGAGGCCACGTCTTCACCGTGTCATTAGGGTCAGGGGCTCTTCACCTCTCGACGATTCGATATTATCTCATATAAAAAACAAAAACAAAAAAAACAACAAAAAAAAACAAAAAAAACGACGCGACCACAAACACCCCGAGGCCCGCGCGGATCTCTCGGCTCGCCGCCAGAGCCCCCCTGCCCGAGGCGCGGAGCGCGCCAGGGGGCGGTGCCCGAGGCGCCGGCACAGGGAGCCCAGCGCCGATCCACGAGATGCCCCCCGTCATCCTCGTTTCTTATCCGAGGAGGAGGAGGAGGAGGAGGAGGAGGAGGAGGAGGGGGAGGAGGAGGAGAAGGAAGGAGGAGAGAGGAGGGAGGGAGGAGGGGGAGGAGGAGGAGGAGGAGGAGAGAGGAGGAGGAGGAGGAGGAGGAGGAGAGAGGAGGAGGAGGAGGAGGAGGAGGAGGAGGAGGAGGAGGAGGGGGAGGGAGGAGGGGGAGGGGGAGGGAGGGGAGGGGGAGGATGAGGAGGAGGAGGAGGAGGAGGAGGAGGAGCAGGAGGAGGGGTTCTGGGAAGACAGTCGCGGGGTGTACGGCAAGCTCGTGCGGCGTCGGCGCGCGCTGAGGTTTTCGACACCGCGCCGAACGTCCAACCTTGAACCGATCGCGGCCCCGATCGCTCAAGGTTCAAGGCCGTCGGGTCCTGCGGCGCTGCCGTGTCCCTCGGTGCTTCCGCGTCGCTCTATCATGCAAAATTCAACCTTGGACGCCTTCGCTGGCGTCGCCAGCGCGCCACCGCCATCGCCAGAAGCTGGGAAGGAGGGGAGCTGAACATCAGGGCTGGAAAAACTGGCAGGGGCTGAATCGAGCCCGAGACAGTCGAGACGGGGTCGCCAGGGCTGGAAACAAGCTTAAGCGAAACTGGCTAGGGCTGGAAAGGTTGGCTGGGACGGCCCTGGCCTCCTGTCCCACCCTCCGTGCACGGCGGGTCCGTGCCGCAGCGACGTGCGCCTCTCTCTCTGATGCCGCTCCGGCAGCTCAGCCTGGAACGGCCGCGGTTCCCCACGGAGCCCGCAACGTGCCCCTGGCGGCGTCCAGCCTGGAACGCCCGCGCTGGGGCCGCCGCCGCGTCGCCACGGCACGACCCTGACGTGCGCAGACCAGGTCGCTGCTCCTCGGGCGCCACTCGGCGGTGGCTGCACAACGGCCCCGGTGGCAGAAGACACCCTCCCAGCGAAATGCAGCCCGGGACCAGATCCCCCGCGGGTGCAGGCCCGCAAACGTTGCGGCCGCAGCGCCCCCGTCGGGCACCGGAAAAAAACACAGCTTGCGAATCGACTTGGCAGGGTGGGGGCGCTACCGCGGATGGAAGAAGTTAGCGCGAAGCCAATTCACAACGTTGAGAGTCCACCATTCAAAGAGACGGAGCGCCGCCCAGGCAACGACGACCACAGGCTGAACAGAAACTGCATCAGCGGCAGCCGCCGATCGTGCCCAGCTTGGAACTCGCCTTTGAATTACGCAATTTCAACGCTGTAGTGAAGTTTCGCGTTAAGTGTGTCCATCCGCGGTTCAAGTAGGGGATCGACTACATAATTGAGTGACCCTGGAATTGAGTTGTTCGTCGATCTGCCAAAAGATACGCTGAATGCCCGAAGATCTGCGAAACATCGACGCACTTGTTGGCAGCTTCGACAAAAAAAAGCCTGGCGAAAGACCCAACCATATGCATGCAGCTGCGAGAACCGCGAAGGAGATAAGACGAAGGAGGAGGGCACGCAAACCCCGAATAGCGCACGCGGTATACCCTCTGCTCTCATAGGCAGCACGCCGCAAAAAGAACAAGGCGCGGGCGGGGCAGTTCGGGCAGGGGGGGGGGACGAATGGGTGGGACGTATGCGAACTTCCAGTGGAGCTCCTTATGGGGCCACGAAACGCTGTACTGGGTGTGGCGGTGGAGCTCCCTAAGCGCAACGAAGCTCTGTACTGGGTGTGGCGGACGCACGTGGGCACCCCCTCTGGGGCCTTCGGTGGAGCTCCCTATGGGGCCACGAAGCGCTGAACTGGGTGTGGGGGACGCATGTGGGCACCCCCACTGGGGCCTTCGGTGGAGCACCGTGGGGGCCACGAAGCGCTGTACTGGGTGTGGCGGATGCACGTGGGCACCCCCACTGGGGCCATCGGTGTAGCTCCCTTGGGGCCACGAAACGCTGTAATGGGTGTGGCGGACGCATGTGGCAACCCCACTGGGGCCTTCGGGGGGCCACTAAACGCTATACTGGGTGTGGCGGACGCATGCGGACACCCCCACTAGGGCCTTCGGTGGAGCTCCCTCCCTATGGGGCTACGAAACGTTCGAAACGTGAAAGGGGCGTGCCGAGATGGTGGACACGCGGTGAGCAGATGCGGTGAGCAGAGGCAGGGAGGGGAGGAGGGAAGAGGGGGAGGAGGAATGAGTGACGCGGGGCGCTCTCTCTTCAAAACAGGGACCCAACAACACAGGATGGTTGGGAATCATGGGGTGCAGCCGGCCCGTTTCAGAAGGATGAGCGATAGGGATGTGAGGGCCTTGGACGCCCACTTCGAAGCTTCTCGAGCGGGGACGGGGCGCGGCCACCCAAGGATGGACCGAGGAGGCAAGGATGCAAGGGTACCCTTGGGAAGGTTGCCCGTCCTTGCTATGCGGGCTGACTGCAAATCAATGATGCAGCCAATTTCCTACTCGAACGGTATCGACCTCCGATCCATCGGCTGGCTGCTGTCCGAGGCCTCGCGCGGCCGCCGCAGTCGAGGCCCCGCCCTCGGGGCGCGGCGCGGCGCCCTGCAGGGCCGCGGACCGCCGCCGGGCCCGCTCCTGCGCGTCGCAGAGGGCACAGGCGGCGACGCCCGGAGGAGGGCCATGGCCGAGACAGCGCCGGAGACGACCGCGGGGGGGGCTGCGGGGACGGGGGGGGGGAGAGGACCAGAAGACAAGCGACACCACCCCACCTGCGGCCCCGCGGGCCCCAGCTTATGCCATGCATGCCGGCGTGGGCTTCTGCGCGGTTTCACGCTGCGGCGCTCGATGGGCCGCAGGGCAGCACGGAGGGCCGTGGGTGGGGTGGTGTCGTTCGTTGTTTGGTCGAGTTCAAGGTGGGCGCCAAGGTGGGTTATACCAGACCTTCAGCTAGCTCACGAGTGGGCCACAGATGCCCCAGGCAGCTTTTATTGGGGGGGGGCGTCGCGGCTTGCAGGAGAGGGGCCCCGAGGGGCACCCTGGGACCTCGGAGGCGCGCAGAAGGTGCAACTGTCTGTGACCCCCCGCGTCTTGCCGCCCGCGTGAGGCACCGCCCGACGAGTCCTCACTGGCCTCGTGAACGCCCAAGGGAAAAACGTGGGTCCGCGGAGGGATGTTGAGCGGGTCTTGGGTCGGGCCGAGTGACCGCCGTTGTCTCCAACAGCCCTCCTCCGAAATGTCCGCGCGGCGCCGTGCAGGCTCCCTGTACTTGTACCAGAACAGCTGCTGGGACAGCAGCAGGAACGTGTGCTTGAACTCCAGTAGCTGCTCCTTCGCGGGATTGGTCAGCATGTCCGTGAAGAACGCCTCAAGCCCCTCGATGTACAGGGTCTTGTAGCCCTGCGCAGCGTCGGGCAGGTGGTAGAATTGGCGGCTCGCCTTCCAGTGCATGAACTCGGGGACGAGCGCCGAGGCGGCGTAGGCGAGCGAGTAGACGAACGCCTGTGGCGGGAAGGGCTCGCCCGTAAAGTCCCCGCAGAGGAGCGTGAAGTGGTAGTGCTTGAACGCGGCCTCCCGGGTGGCGTGGGTTCCATCCTCCAGGCGATCGACGCTCTGTGCATGCCCCTGGTCAAGCCCGACGAGGGGACACAGTCCCAGACCCTCGACGTAAGGATTTTTACCAACATTGACCCTCAGAGATCTCGACCCCTTCCCCGGAACCGGTTTTTTATCCCGAATCGTTTTCTGACACTCCTGGGGACCAACGAGGGCCCCCAGGGGCCGCGAATAACCAAACGCCCTCAACTATCATGTGTTCATGACCCGGACAAATTGCGGCATGGGCAACAATTTGGCCGCTAGGGCCGAGCCGAGGTTTTTTTTGTTACCCGTGCCCTGCTCCCCCTGGCGCCAAGTGGGGGCGGGGGGGCCGCGGCAACGGGCATCCTAGGATCTGACGCCACGAAAACGATGCAACGTCGCAGAAGAACTCTACTGGAGCCCTGGACCCCATCTTTTCGCGGCTATTTTTCGAGCCTGATCGGTCCGCGAGGGCCCCATGGTGAAGGGTATGCCTCGAATGTCGACCGCCGATCCTCCACGTGGACGTGCTCGGAGCCCAGCTGCAGGGCGGCGTCGGCGGGAAACAGCGGCACGCCGCCCTGGCCCGGGCACGAGCTGCTCGCAGACAGGAAGTAGACTAGAAGAAGAAACCGAAGCCACAAGCATAGACTTTGAGCGCTCCGTGCGGATTTCGTGGATCTGCGCTGGGCCCCCCCTCACTGGGGGGGGCCCAGCGCGGATCCAAGAGTTCCGCGCGGAGCGCCAAACAAAATCGATGCGTATGGCGTTTTCCTCCTTCGACATACGGACATGACGTGGCGCTTCTCGCCCTGCGGCCCCAGCCTGCTCACCGGGAAGTCGTGGGGCGGGCCGACGTGGTACGTCCAGGGAGCGGCGTCGCTCGCCCTGAGGCGGGAGGCGGGCAGCAGAAGCGGCCAACCAAGGATGTGAGGGCCTTGGACGCCCACTTCGAAGCTTCTCGAGCGTGGCGCGGCCAACCAAGGATGGACCGAGGAGGCAAGGATGAAAGGGTACCCTTGGGAAGGTTGCAACCACCACCACCAAGCGGCAGCAGAAGCGGCCACGACCGCCACCAAGACCACCATCGCATCGCGAGATGGGGCTCCCTGGAGGGCCCCCGCGGCGTCCCGCCCGAAGCGCCTCCGAGCTCCGGCTCGCCGGGGGGGGGCATCGCGGGCCCGCTCGCCCCAGGGGTGGCCCGCTGGCGGGGGTGGCCTCCTCTCCTCCGTCGTCGTTTGCTTTGCCATGAGCGAGCCCCCGGGATCTCGAGCCCGTCTGCGTTCCGTCCTGCGCCGCTTTTGGGCAGTCCCTGGCCCAAGGAGCAGCTTCCAGAGGCCGTCGCGATGAGGTCTGGGACTAATGCACGTCGCCTGTCTAGAGAGACCTGTCAGGTGAAGTTCGAGTAGACAGGGTCAGAGGATCGCGCCAGGTCGCCAGTGCATCGGCGCCGTCGGCGTGGAGAAAATCAAGCTCCACATCAAGCCGCATCGGCGATGCATCGGCGATGCGGCGCCAGACCCCCCATCTGGGAGGCCTGGAGATCGGGTAGTTGCCAACGGGGAGCAATAAACAGGGGGACCTCTCGTGCACATTTTTTTGTGGGGGGTCGCAAGCGTCGCGAACACAGACTATTTGACCGTTTCTGGCCCGCGGTGGCACCTTCAGATCCGTTCAGGACCCCTTTTCCAAGACATGCGAGGTCGTGCTTTTCCATGACATCATGACTCGGATACACACGGTCTCCAGAAGTCCCGACCCCTTCCCCCTGGCCGGTTTTGATCGCGAGTCGCTCTTCGAGGCCGAAAATTGTGAAGAACCTCCGCCCCGATGTTTGGCAGGACGCTGCGCGTCTGGATCAGGGCTGCGCTCCCCCCTGCCCTCGACCCACCCGAACGCTTGCTGCCCCGCCCCATTGCCGCCCGTCCGCGGAGACCTGGCGCCCCAGCCCGTGTGATTCAGGAACGCGGAGAACACGGGCAGCACGCCCGGCTCGGTGTCCTCAGCTGGGAGGCGGCTGGGGGGTCTGAGCTGCATGGGGCCCAGAGCAGCTGTCGAGGAGCGGGGATACAGGGCAGTTTCTAATACATTGGATTAAAAGCATATAGGATTTGTTTGATACAGGATTAGTTTATGAATAAATTGATGCATGAACTCATCGTTGTGTTTAATACTGAATCCCTGTATGTTTAATTATGTTTAATACATGATCCGCACGCGAAGCATGTATTAAAAACGGCGCTGGAAGGGCAACTCCGTCCCAAATCGGTCCCTGGAACCCTCCCAGGGTCCACCTGGTGCAATTGTTCACCCCGGATCCGTTTTGGACGGTCCCGGAGCCCGCTCCAGAGGCCGAAAAAGACAAAACCAAAAACAACATCGAGCCCAGAACATAGAACCTGCCCGCCCTTCCTGCTGGTCGGAACCAGCGCTGGGCCACCTCAGACCATCGATGATCCTCAGAAGGTGTGTCAGCGCCAACGTGCTGGTCCAGCAAAACCCGTCAATGCGGCAAAGACGGTGCAACCATGGCTGGCACAGGCCGGACGGGGTGACACACACATTAGGCTAACACACGTCTTGAGCTCGGCGGCGAGCCCAGGGCGGAAGTGAGAAGAGGGCGGGCCTTGTCAGCAGGCTCGAAAGTCCGATGGCCTTCTGAGAAATCTCCTAAGCATTCCGCGAAGACACGGAAGACTTCTCAAAGGCCAAGGAATGCTCCTGAGAAGTCCCGCCACTGTCTGCTTCTCCGTCTCCCTTCCACCCCTAGACCCTGAGGTCCGACGTTACAACAAAAACTGCAACGTCGCAAACAAAACGGGACCGGATCCTCACCCTATCTGTCTGCCTCATGTTTCGAACCAGATCGATCTGTGAGGGCCCTGGGGCTCGAATCGAGCGAGAACGCCCAGCTCAAAAAAATGAGGACCCAGACCCGGACGTCATGATTTTTTCATGACGTCGACCCCCGAAGGTCTCAACCCGTTCCCCGGGCCGGTTTTCCATCCTGAGCCGTCTGTTGGCGGCCCCGAGGTCCGCTGTAGGGGCCCCCGGGGGCCAGCAATGGCGGAAAGCCTCCCGTCGGGACAATATATTCCTGACCCGCGGGGGTCTGGAGTGCTCGCCGACGGCAGACGACCCCCATCCTCGGCGAGCACGCCGTCGACGTCCTGCTCGGGGCCCTCGTTGAGCAGGGACCGACCGTCCCGGCATCCCTAGTCCTACCACGAAATGTTCTTAGAATCCAAAAATGTTCTTATCACAAAAACAGTGTTCTTGGAACATCAGCCCGATGTGTTTCAACAAGACAGTCCCAGCCAAACATGCTCTAAGAACATTTCGGGGGAACCACAAAAGGTTCTTAGAACATTATTTGGTAGGACTGTTAGGGGGCCACATGCGAACCCTACCCCTACCCCCCACGATTTCTGAGGGGGAGGATGGGGTTCACTTCGTTCGGAAGCTCCCGAGCGAAGTGAACCCCACCCTCCCCCTCGGAAATCGTGGGGGGTAGGGGTAGGGTTCGCATGTGGCCCCCTAACTATAGGCACGCCAGGACGCTTCGCCACTGCTCGACCTCGCGCCCGCCGGCCCCAAAGGGGCGGTAGGCCACGCGGCAGGCGCCCGCGGGAGCGCGCGGCCCAGCGGCGCTGGCCGCCGGCACCGCGGCCAGCAGGACCACCTCCAGAGGAGGAGGAGGAGGAGGAGGAGGAGGAGGAGGAGGAGGAGGAGGGGACGAAGGAGGAGGAGGAGGAGGAGGAGGAGGAGGAGGAGGGGACGAAGGAGAGGAGGAGGAGGAGGACGATGAGGGGGATGGAGGAGGAGGAGGAGGAGGAGGAGGAGGAGGGCTAAGAGAAGGAGGGCGAGGAGGAGGAGGGCTCGAGTAGGAGGACGAGGGGGAGCAGAAGATGGGGAGGAAGGGGAGGAGGTCGGGCATGTCCGCCTATAGACGGGTTTTGGACGAAAGGTAATAAATACCCAAAACATGCTCAACAATACTCCAACATAGTCAACATCAATCGTCCCACGACTGTTTTTTGTTGACTATTTTTGAGCATCCCTCCTGGAAAGGGACAGGCCCGACGGAAAACCAGGGAAGACCTGAGATCCTGACGATTCCATGTTTTCGCGCTGGGCGTTGTCGCTCCATCTAGTGCCCAGGGGCCCGCACAGATCGATCTGGCTCGAAAATGACGCAGAACAATGGGGTCCAGGTGTCCAGTCGTGTTTTTGTTGCGACGTTGGATGTTTTTTGCTACGTCGGATCTCAGTGGAGGATAACAACGGGTGAGGATAGATCGAGAATCGCTGAGATCTGGCGGCTCTGGAGGATGTCTCGGGCGCCGCGGCCTTCTCAGAGCGTTCCTGAACACTCTGAGAGCGTCCTGGAACGCTCTGGGACGGAATTATCATCGTCCTAGCCCTGTCCGACCAGAGGCGGTCTTTCTTTCGGCTTCCGAAGCCTTACAGGACCACCCAGAATCAAACCGATAGGTGGCGACATCTGAACCCTGGCCCTACCCCTACCACTCATCGATTCTCTCGAATCGATGAGTGGTTGGGGTTCGTAAGTTCGGATTCCGCAAAAGTGTTCGACGAATTCCGAGCCCTACGCCGGCCACCCGCCGAGTTGCCTGAAACGTTGACGGGTAGGGTTCGGATGTCGACCGCCAAATCGTTCACTCGGATCGTCGATCGCAATGAATCGGATCGGCGGACATCGGCCGCCAAACCAGGAGAACTCGAGTCGGCGGAAATCGGCAGGCCGAAGCAGGGCCTCCATCACGAGAGACCGGAATGCCCATGCGGCAGCCGACATCGCCGCGGAACCGGCACCGATATCGACCTCGGAACGACTCGGGCCGGCAGGGTCGACGGGAGCCCGCGGGTCCTGCCCGCAGGGGCCCCGAGATCCTGGCGCCGCACATGCGGCTCACACGGCGTGCGCGAGCTGCTGCGTCCCCTCGGGCCCCAGGGGGCCTCCGCGGATCGAGCCGCTCGACGAGTGCTGCAGGAGGATGGGGCCCAGGGCTGCGGCGGTCTGGTGTCACGAGATCTGTCGGGGCGGGGTGCTGTGTACTTGTTTCCCCCGCTTCTCCTGGGGGAGCAATGAAAATGTATACACCAGGATCCGCTCTCCTGTGCGAATCGCAGTGCGGCTCCTCAACGCTGTCAGTGTCTTTTGCGACGTCGGATACCATGGAGGAGGGGGGGGGGGGGGCGAAGCGAGTGGGGGGGGGAAGCGAGCCTCAAGGAGGAGATGATCTGGCCTCCATGCGAACCTCGGGACCCACCTGCACGCCTTCTCGGCGGAGGAGGGGGCGGGGAATGGCTATGCAGGCAAACTCGCCCGAGCCTGAAGTAGCACGCCCTCCTCTCTCCCCGGGCACCCACGTCCGGAACAACATCGGGACTACATTTTTTCCCTGTGCTCGGCCTCTGGGGGCCCTCGCCGGGCCCTGCAGCGGCCCTCAACAACTGCCTGGCATTAAGGCGCAGCCCTGCGCCGCAATGAGCAAGGCATCGGACGCCTTGGTTCCACCCTCCCCGTTCTCAAGCGTCCTCCGATAAGATGTTGTTTAATCTGCGGCCCCAGAGGTCCCGACTCCTTCCCCAAGGGTTCATCTTCCTCCGGGATCAATGTGTGATGGCCCATTGGGCTCGCCGAGATGAAAGGAAAACGCCGCGATTGGAAAAAACAGACCGTCGAAAAGTTTGAGTCCCTCCTCCCCAGGGCACCCTCGAGCATTCTTCCTCCCCTCATCACTCCTCCCCGGTCCCATACTCCCTCCAGCGCACTCCCCGCCCTCCGTCGTGCCGCCATCCCCCCTCCCGCTCACAGGCCCCAGGACCGACACCGAAAACACTCAAAATGAAAAAAACGGTCCCAAGAAAGGGTTCGAGACCTCCGTGGGGGGTCCCGGCTGTGCGAAACTTGAGGGGAGCGGTACCCAGCGAACATATACGCTGCCACTATGGAGGGGGGGGGAGGGGGGAAAGAGGCGGGGTGGCTGAAAGCCCCCCTCCTCCTCCTCCTCCTCCTCCTCCTGCTCCTCCTCCTCCTCCTCCTCCTCCTCCTCCTCCTCCTCCTCCTCCTCCACCCCCTCTCCCCTCTGGCACACGAGAGGAGGGGCGGGAGCCACCCCCGCCTCCTCCAGCAGTCGAGACCCTCTCTCCTCCCCGCGCACTGGGGAGCGATTCCCCCGCAACGGGCCGTCCCGCAACAACGCCTGGGGGGGGGCATAACCGATGCTGTTCCATTTGCGCTCGCCACATTGCCACGCATCGCGGCGGAAGAACAACCTATTCACCTCACTCGTCGCGTGGCCACGAGTGGGAAGCGAAAGAGAGGACGATGCCACTCTACTCGCCACGTGACAACGCCCGAGAGGCAAACGCATCGATGCTGTTATGGTCGCCGCGTGGCATCGCATCTCACCAAAACATACGCACTTCTACTCAACTCGCCAACGCAGCGCGCTAGACGCAATACCACTATACTCTAATCGTCACGCTGCAACACCTGGGGGGGCATACAAACGTCATTTCATTGCGCTCGCCATGTTGCCACGCAGCGGGCCGAAAGCATCAATTCCATTCGATTCAGGCGGGGCGAGACAGATCACAATTCCACTCGACTCGTTACGCGACAACGCCAGTTGGTCAACATATGTCATTCCTCTACACTCGCAGCATGCCACGCAACAGGCCTGAGAACGACACAACATCAACTGGACTCGGGCGGGGCGGACACAAACTCTATTCCACTCGACTCGTCACGCGGCAACGCCTGGGGGCGAAAACAATTCTAGCCCAGTGTACTCACCGTGCGGAAACGCAGAAGGGCCCCAAAACCGCCTCTTCTACATAGCTCGTCACGTGGCAACGCCTGGAGAACTGAAAAGACGCCATGCCACACTACTCGCGCGCATCGGAACACCCAGGTGGTGAAATAATACAACTATATTCTACTCGCCGCGTGGCAACGCAGTGTGGCGGAC